GGTGGAGGTGAGTAAACATTGTAGTGATTTTAGCATGTGTTTGAACTTAAGTAACCACCAACTTAAAATACACTTCTGTAACCAAAACTTGGTACATAGGAAGCACAGTTAACCACAAACCGAAAATCTACAAGAGATATACAAGAAATAAAGAGAAAGGAATCCAAGCACAAACTAAATAAAGTCATCAACATATAAGAGAAGAGAGCAAGAAAAAAAAGGAAGGAACAGGTAAGGACAATAAAAACAATCAGAAAAAAATGGTAGTAACTATATACCTATCAATAATCACTTTCAGTGTAAATGGACTAAATGCTTCAAATAAAAACACGGTGGCTGAATAGAAAAAAAGGACAAGATCCACACATACGCTGCCTATAAGAGACCCACTTCTGATCAAAAGACACACAGACACTAAAAATGAAAGAATAGAAAAAGGTATTTTATACAGTGGAAACACACACAAAAATACTGAGGTAGAAATACATATCTCAGGCAAGGTAGGCTCTAAGAGTAGGGCTAACGAGAGACAAAGAAGGGCATTTCTTAATAATAAAGGGATCGATCCAGTAAGAGGACATAACTCTCAAACATCTAGACACCTAACATAGGAGTGCCTAAATATAAATACTGACAAACATAAAGGGAGACACTGACAACAGCACAGTCACAGTAGAGGACTTTGAAACTCCACTGACATCAATGGATAGATCATGCACAAAATCAACATGGAAGCAGTGGCCTTAAATGACGCATTATACAAAAAAGCTTTAATTGATATTTTTAGAGTATTTCACCCCAAAGCAACAGAATATACATTTTTTAAAAAGATTTTATTTATTTATTTTTAGAGAGGGAAGGGAGGGAGATAGAGAGAGAGAGAGAGAGAGAGAGAGAGAGAGAGAGAAACATCAACGTGCAGTTGCTGTGGGGGTCATGGCCTGCAACCCAGGCATGTACCCTGACTGGGAATCGAACCTGCGACACTTTGGTTCGCAGCCTGTGCTCAATCGACTGAACTATGCCAGCTAGGGCTAGAATATCCATTTTTTTCCTCAAGTGCACATGGAACATTTTCCAGAACAGACCATGTTAGGCCACAAAACAAGTCTCAATAGAGTTTAAAAAACTGAAATTGTATCAGTCATTTTCTCTGATCACAATGGTATAAAATTAGAAATCAACTATGAGAAGAAAACAACAACAAAGAGAACACATGCAGGCTATATAACATGCTACTAAACAATAAATGGGTTAAGAATCAGATAAAGGAAGAAATCAAAAGATATCTTGAGACAAATGAAAATAATAACAAAATGACCTCAAATCCTTGGGACACAGCCAATGCCATTCTAAGAGGAAAATTATAGTAACACAGGCCTGTGTCATGAAACAAGAAAAATCCCAAATAAACCATATACCTAAAAGAACTAGAAAGAGAAAAATAAAGTCCAAAGTAAACAAAGAAAATAACGAAGATCAGAACAGGAATAAGCAAAATAGACTCTAAAAAACAATACAACACACCAATGAAATCAAGAGCTGGTTCTTCAAAAAGATAAATAAAATTTATAAACCTTTAACCATATTCATCAAGAAAAAGAACCCAAATAAATACAAGCAGAAATGAAAGGAGAGAAGTGACAACCAACATTACAGAAATACAAATAATTATAAGAAAACACTATGAACAATTAGATGCCTAAAAATTGAACAGCTGGAAAAAATGGATAAATTCCTAGACAAATACAGTTTTCCAAGACTAAATTAGGAAGAAACCTAATTAGGAAGAGAAGATCTATAACTACTAATAAAATCAAATCAGTAAAAACAAACAAACAAACAAACAAAAAAAAAACCTCCCAACAAACAAAAGCCCTGAAAAAGATGTCTTCACAGATAAATTTTTCCAAATATTCAAATAAGAACATACCTATTCTCAAATATTCCAAAAAACTGAAGAGGAGGGAAGACTCCCAAGCTCATTTTATAAGGTTAGCATTACCTTGATACCAAAACAAGACAAAGACACTACAAGAAAGGATCATATACCATGATTAGGTGAGATTTATTTCTGGGATGCAGGGTTGGCTCAATATCTGCAAATCAATTAATGTGATACACCATGTAATGTGATACACCATGTTCAGGTGTGCTCCCGATGCTATTGGGAGCACACCTGAACATAACAAAGGCCATATATGACAAACCCACAGCTATCATCACACCCAGCAGTGAAAGCTGAAGGTTTTTTCATTGAGATCAGGAGCAGACAAGAATGTCCCCTTTTACCATTTTTATTCAGCATAGTAACAGAAGACATGGCATAGGAATCAAAGAAAGAAAGAAAGAAAGAAAGAAAGGGCATCTGAATTGGAAAGGAAGAAGTAAAACTTATTTACAGATGACATAATACTGTATCTAGAGAACCTTAAAGATTCCACCAACAATTATTAGAATAAACAAATTTAATATTAAGAAACCAGTTGCATTTTATACACCAATAACAAACTATTGGAAAGAGAAATTAAGAAAATTCTATTTAAAATTGCATCAAAAGAGTAAATACCTAAAAATAAATTTAACTAAGGAGGTTAAAAATTTGTACTTGGAAAACTATAAGGGGTGTCCAACCTTTTGGTGTCTCTGGGCCACACTGGAAGAAGAAGGGTGTGTTGGGCCACACACATTAAATACATTGCAACATGTAATCACAAAGATAATCTCATAATGTTTTAAGTAAATTTACAACTTTGTGTTGGGCTACATTTATAGCCATACTAGGATGCATGTGGCCTGCGGGCTGCAGGTTGGACATCCCTGAAAGAAATTGGAGATAATAGAAATAAATGAAAAGATATATAATGCTCATGAATAGGAAGAAGTAACACAGTTAAAATATCCATACTACCCAAGGTAATCTACAGACTCAGTGCACTCCTTATCAAAATACCAATGGTACTTTTCACATAACTAGAACTAATAATCCTAAAATTTATATGGACCTACAAGACCCTAAATAGCTAAAGCAATCTTGAGAAAGAACAAAGCTGGAGGTATCCTGATACTGACATAAAAAACAGACACATAGATCAATGGAACACAATAGAGAGCTCAGAAATAACCCCATGCCTATTTAGTCAATTAACATTAGAGGTGAGAACATACATTGGGATAGAGATAGTGTCTTCAATAAATGATGTTGGGAAAACTGGACAGATACTTACAAAAGAGTGAAAACTGGTTCATCTCTCACACCATACATGAGAATAAAGTCAAAATGGATTAAAGACCTAAATGTAAGACCTGAAACCATAAAACTCATAGAAGAAAATATAAGCAGTAAATGCTTTGACATCGCTCTTAGTTAATATTTTCTTTTTGGATATGTTTCCTCAGGCACGGGAAACAAGCAAACAAACAAACAAACACAAATGGGACTACCTTAAGGTAAAGAGTTTTTTCACAGCAAAGGAATCCTTCAATGAAACAAATAGATAATCTACTGAATGGGAGAAAATATTTATCAGTGATACATCCAATATGGGGTTAACATCTAAAATATCTAAGGTATTCATACATCTTAACATCAAAATAAAAAAATAATTTGGTTTTTAAAAAAAGGCTGAGGACTTGAACAAACATTTCTTCCAAGAGGACGTGCAAATGGACAATAAACCAAAGAAAAGGTACTCAACATCACAAATCAGAGAAGTGAAAATAAAAACCACAGTGAGGTATCACCTCATACTTATTAGAATGGCTATCCTCAATAAATCAACAAACAACAAGTGCCGGTTAGGATGTGGAAAAAGGGGAGCCTTGTGCACTGTTGGCAGGATTGTTCATTGGTGCAGCCACTTTGGAAACCATATAGAGGTCTCTCAAAATATAAAAAACAGAACCACCATATGACCCAGCAATTCCACTTCTGGCTATTTATCCAAAGAAATCTAAAGCTCTCATTTGAAAAGATATTTGCACCCATATGTTCATGGCAGCTTTACTTACTATAGCTGAGGCATGGAAGCTACATAGGTGTCCACCAATAGACATTTGGGTAAAGTTGTGGCATGTCTCATACATGTACACAATGGAATATTACTCAATCATAAAAAGAATGAAATCTGCCACTTATGATAACATGGATGGACTTAGAGGGTATTATGCCAAACAAAATAAGTTAGACAAAGACAAATACCATACAATTTTACTTGTATGTGGAATCTAAAAAAAAAACAAACAAAACAGAAACAAATTGATGTTTGCCAGATGGGAGAAGGTTGGCAGGGGGAGGGGTTGAAAAATTTGAAGGAATTAAAAATACACACTGATAGTGATAAAAATAGTCACAGAGATGTGAAGTACAGCATAGGAAATATAGTCAATAATACTGTGATATGGTGTCAGATAGATACTAGACTTATCTGGTGATCACTTCATCAGGTATATGAATGTGGAATCATGAAGTGATATACCAAAAACTAATATAACATTGTATGTCAGTTGTAAGTGAAAAATAAAAATAAATTTAAAAGAAGCAATCTAACTGTTCATCAACAGAAAAATGAATACATAGAAATAGTGGTTAGTTTATAAAATGTTACACCATGTAGCAGTGAAAATGAATGGACCAGAGCTATGTGGCTGAAACCTGATGCTAAATTCAGAGAAAGACTGTTGCATAATATGTACAGCAGGCTTCCATTTACTTAAAAGTTTAAAACATGGAAAATGACAGTACCTATTGTGAAAGGTATATGTGTACACAGAAGTAGGAAAGCACGAGGATCCAAGGCAGTGCTGACCTGTGGCATGGGAAGAGGGAAAATGGGAGTGAGGAGGAACTGGAGAACTCAGCCAGGTCTGAAGTGAACTTGTCAAAATGTTAGCATTGCTGAGAACTCAATGGTACATATGGTTTTGTTATTACACTCTTCCTATTTATTTTTGTTGTCGTTGATTTAAATTTTTTTTTTTTGTAAGTCACAGGTACTCACTGAGACCAGATAGGTGATTGGGGGTCATCTGGAAGAAACCCAGAAGAGGATCTGGAGTGAGTTCCAATCTAGTCTTCTCTCCACCTGGCTCCAGTTCATGATCTGTCTGCAAATAAAGGATTTGCATCATTTTGGTCCTAATCTTAGTAATTTAATTTTACTTGAAAGATATTGTTCCCCAAAGACCACCAGGCCACATCTGCTCTGGCCAGAAATAGCACAAAGCACACTCTCTCTGTGAGGCTGAGCGGTTGTTTCACTTTGTCACTTGGCTCCGTTTCCAGCCTCACTCACTCAATGCAGCAAAACGCTGAGCCACTGAAAGGTTATTGGAGAGAGAGAGATGATCTAAACAAGCAGAAAGTATAAGGGAGGGGGTGGGGAGAGAGAGAAAAAAGAGAAGGAGAATCAGCTTTGCATGAGGAAGTAGACAAACTCACAGGAAGTGATCGAATTAAAGTCAGGATATTGCTGAGAAACCGTAAAACAAACACGGGGCATAATTTAGATGTGTAGAACTGGAAATAGTTACACTTTTACAGCCTTGAAGCGCAAATGCACAATCCAATGGGAGGGAGTTCATTAACTTTCTTCTAGTGTATCTTACAACAAAAAACAACCAGGCAAAAGATATTTTGGCAATGACTGGAGACCCTTGTGCAAAGAGATTTATGGCACTTTGGAAAAATTCAGGACAGTGGTTTTTAGCACTGCATCTTTTATACTTTTCAAGTTATGTAAGAGGTGCTTCTTTTTCTTCTTGAAGCATAACTTCCAGGTCAGCTTTAGCTTCTCAGGTGGGTGAGTCAAAGCTTTCTGGCGCAGGAGTCAATAACGCTGACAAAAAGAAGGTAACACTTATAGTAGAGGGCCTGGGACAGATCGTTCTCTGGAGTCACACAGCAAACTGTATGTTACTGTATCTTTCAGATACTTCTCACCCTGAAATGCCTACCAGTAATAAGCACTATGCACATATTCTTTTTGTATTGCTGGAGAAAACTCAGCTCTGTGACAGAATTCCTTTTGTTTTATCGAGAGCAAATGCAGCAACCACTAACTTTTATTGAGAACATACTCTTGTAAATCCCTTACCTCATTTAGTGTCAATACCCTCATTAGGAAAGAACTCTTCCCAGCCCCATTTTATAGAAACAAAACTGAGACACAGGAAGGCTAAGTAATATACATCGGGTCTCCTAGAAGAAGTGGTAGAGCGAGGAGTCTGAGTCAGCCAGTTGCTTCTAACAGACTTTACATGCCACACTATGTCTGGGAGGAGGTATTTAAAATAAGTGGAGGCAGCTATTGGGATGACAGCACCAAGTTATCTTAGAATCATGGGACCTCCGCTTCAGATAGAGCAGCTCTAAGAGGGAAGTATTCACACGTTGGTGAAGATGAGGATGGTTCACTAAAAATCAGAATCCTTTCCTTAGAGCTCCTAGAAACTAGGAACATCCATTCCAGGGCTCCTGTGTACCCTACCCTACCTAAGTTATGGTTAATTCTGCCATGTCCCTCAACTCTCAGAGAGCAAAAGTGGAGATGGACTTGAAAATCCTATTGGACAAAAGTCAGAATGCTTAAGCTTAGTTTAGTATTGCCACCTATTAAATGAATTCATTTTCGGAGGGCTAAGATGGCGTCGGAGTAAGAAGGAGCAGATTCCGCTTCCCTCTGCTCAGGGGAGAAAATCCTGACCGATTTATGGAGTAAAGAAGTAAGCAACCGACATACTTCAGCATTTTTGAAAATAGGGGATCAAGGATTGTGGCAGAACTGAAAAACCGGACCCTAAGAAGAGTACTGCAACAAGGTAGGGTCCTGGGACCAGCATGTGGTCCAGGGGCTGCAGCCCCAGGCCCAGGGCCCACTGCTGGGTTTGCCACAGAGTCCTTGGGAGAGAGCTGGGACAACTGCTCCCTCCCCAGCCAAACAAGGTCTGAGCGGCACTGGGAGGAATCCAGGTGCTAGCAAACACACAAGGGCTATGAGTACCTTTGGAGGCTGTAGACACTGGAGAGGCTGGGTCACGCAGCAAGCCTGGACCCCCACAGTCACCAGCCTGGCTGGAGCGTTTGGCAGTGGGAGAAGCCAAGCCACTGTGGGGAGTGGCAGGCTTGAACAGGAGGAATTTCTCAAGAGGAAGGAGTGTATAGACACAGACACTGTTTGGGGAATTCTCCTAAAGTGATCAGTGGCTCCAGCCTCCCTGCTACCCAGCTGTGGGCGTGCATGGGTACATGGGTATGCATGCAGGGAGAGCATCCCTGCACCCCAGTCCACAGCAGTAACCCTGGGGAAAGACCTGATTCCCACACCCAGGGTGCAAGGCTGAGGAGCCAGTGCGAAGCTCCGCTGGCCGAGGAAGAAAAGCCATACCAATCACCCTTCAGCCTGCTGCAGCGAGCAAGAGCAGAAAAACCGGTTTGGCCACTTTGAAACCAAGAGACTTTTTAATTTGATTCTATTTTTTTTAACAATTTTTAATTTTTATTGTTTTTATTCTCTTTTGATTTCTTTTTCCTCTCTTACCTGATTTCTTGTTTTATTCCTTCCTCCTTCCTGTCCTCCAATTTTATCTCTTCTTCCTTCCTTCGTCTGCCTTTTCTATTTTTACTTTTTTAAATTTTGTCTAAATACCTACAAGTGAGACAAAATCCTGGATCTGTGAAAAGACCAAAGTTGAACTCAAAGAAGGGGCATCACAACAGCTGGGACAGTGAGATAAATTTCACTCTGCTATTACAGAGAACCTGCAAGTTATTGCATATTTGTATTATTATTATTATTTTTCCAGTATTCCTACATCTTTTTTAAATAGTATTTTTATATCCCTCTTCTTTTTTTATAGTCTGCTTTGCTAGGCTGGATATATTGTATGACCTGACAGCTTTCCCCTGATATCTCTTTCCATACTGTATTGCTAATCTACTGTCTTTTAACTCACCTGTGTTCCATTAGCACACTACTCGAGTTTCTGTACTCCCTATTCTTGTTACCTAGATCTCATAAATTCTGTCATATGATTGTTGCCATAATATTATTGTAAATAACTGCTGTTCCATGCAATTGTAATTACTTCACAACCCCCCACCCCCCCAAGATCTTAGCCCATTTCAAAGTTTCCTGAACTCTATTACTGTAGTGGTTAACTCTATTCTCTTACACACTACACATATTTATTATCCTTTACTCTCACCTTACCTCAGAATCTGACCTCCCACAATCTCTCTGCTTTATAGATCCAACTCACAATCCTTCCTTCCCCAACAAGAGTCTTATCTTCTTTCCATCCTTTCTAAAAATCAGCTAGCTGGTCTCTTCCCTACTTGCTACTACTGTAAATAGCATAGAATTCTCTGTTGCTGTCTTAAACCATTTTGCCTTCCCCCTGCAACTGATGACAAAAAAGAATAGGTTGAGGTGGTGAACACCAGGATACCCACTGGAAGAGGAAACCCAACAACAAAGGAACCACTAACAGATGACAACAGAAGAAGGTGAAGGAGGGAGTAGTAACCACACAAACCTCAATCCAGAACCTATCTGGAAATACAACTAAACAGTAGAGACAGTACCCAATACAAACAACTGAACAAGAATTCTTTAAACCTTATACACATGGAAGAACCAGCTTCAACACAACCTGCCCTCACCAGCACAAAAAAAATACAGGAGGTGGTGGACAGAGTAACCCTCATTTAACCAGCTGGTGGGAAGGAACCACCAAAGAAAAGACTCAACAACAATCAAAACCCGAAGGCAAACACAAATCCAACTTAAATGACAGCCCAAGACCAGTGAGCTTGGGAGATCAAGGAAACTGCACCACTGAAACTCACTACTATTCTACTAAAGAAGTTCACCACATAAACCCAGGGAGCCAAAACAGATCAATAAGAAGCTGAGGCTAACAAGAAGAGTCTCACAAACAATGGGAAGACAAAGAAACAATCCCCAAATGAAAGGAAAGGAGGAAGCCTCAGAAAGAATGCTAAATGAAATAGAGGCAATTCAACTATCAGATATTGAGTTCAAAGCAATGATTGTCAGAAAGCTCAATGAGCTCACAATGAGCTACCAGAAACTACAGGGAAGCTACAATGAACTCACTGAAAACTACATCAGCATGAAAAAGGAAATAGAAACTCTCAAGGGCCAAGAGGAAATGAAGAATACAATTTCTGAACTGAAGAACACAGTAGAAGGAATGAAAAGCAGGATCGATGAAGCAGAAGATCAAATCAGTGAGCTAGAGGACAAAGTAGAAGAAAACACCCAGAAAGAGCAAGAAAAGGAAAAGAGGCTCAGAAAGAATGAAGAAGGATTAAGAGAAATGCAAGACAATATGAAATGTAATAATATCCATATAATAGGGATACCAGAAGGAGAAGAAGAAGAACAAGGGATAGAAAACCTATTTGAAAAAGTAATGATGGAAAACTTCCCTAATTTGATGAGAGAAAAAGTCACACAAATCCAGGAAACATAGAGAGTCCCAATCAAGAGGAACCCAAAGAGACCCACCTCAAAACACATAATTAAAATGGCAAAATTTTAAGACAAAGAGAGAATCTTAAAGGCAGCAAGGGAGAAACAGGAAGTAACATACAAGGGAGCCTCAATAAGGCTAACATCTGACTTCTCAATGGAAACACTCCAAGCCAGAAGAGAATGGCAAGAAATATTCTAAGTAATGAGAACCAGAGGCCTGCAACCACGACTACTTTACCCAGCAAGGCTCTCAATCAAGATAGAAAGCCAAATAAGAAGCTTCTCAGATAAAAGAAGTCTAAAAGAATACACCTCCACTAAACCAGCTCTGCAACAGATGCTAAAGGGACTGCTTTAAGGAAAGAAAGGAAAAGAGTAAGAGAGGAACACACATATATAAAAGGCAATGAATAAGTACCTATCAATAATAACCTTAAACATAAATGGATTAAATGCTCCAATCAAAAGACATAGAATAGCTGATTGGATAAGAAAACATGACCCACAAATATGCTGCCTACAAGAGACCCATCTCAGGATAAAAGATCTGCACAGGCTGAAAGTGAAGGGCTGGAAACAAATTTTCCAAGCAAATGGGCAGGGAAA